TATAATATATTCCTTTATATATATATATATAAAAGAAGAATAAGAGTAGTTTTTCAATCTAATACATATACATAAACTGTGTGTGTATGTGTGTGTGAGAGAATATCTTAACAGAACAATATATTCTCTTGAAGTTTTCAAAAGTAATATGTAAAAGAGAGTAGTCAACACAGTGTGATTTTTGTTCCCTTTGATCAGAGATTCTTGGATAGAAATATACAGAAGAAGGAAGAAGAAAAAGCTCCCTTCTGATGGTGGTAGTGGTGGTGATGGTAATGGTAGTGGTGGTGGTTTGTTGGTGTCGGGTTGGGAGTTCACGACGACGACGCCGGATCAGTGAGCGTCGCGACGCCCGCCTGTCAAGGTGGGTTGTTAAAAAGCGTGCAACGAATAACGATAAAGCTGCTTATTTCTTTTTTTTTTTTCTTTCTTTTCCCTTCCATTACCATTACGTGTGAATTACTATTCAACGAAAAAAAAGAATCATCCCCTTATTTTCTTTTTACTTTAACAAAAAAATTTAAAAACAAAAAGAAGAAGAAATAAAAAATCCAAGTAAAAATTTATTGGAATAAAATTATTATCGAATCGTTCAATTATATTTGGTATTCCCCCTTTTATTTTTATAATTTCAATTTGATTGAACGACGTGAAGAAAAAAAGAAAGAAAAAGAAACAGAATAAAAGAAAAAGTGAACTCGCGCTAACGCGAGTACGATTATGGGGCTAAATGGGGGCTGATGGACATTTTCGAGTGACCTTGTCCTTAAGAAGGGAACCAGCAGCTGGCCCGGTTTATTGCAAAATGGAAACTTCTGCTAGATTTCGACAACTTAAAACTGTGAAGCTTAGCTGTGAGGCTATCTACCGGCTCGACATCAGCTTCAAACCTCCGCAACTACTGCAGTGGGTACAGTGAACGTGTACATATACACATACACACACACACACATATCTCATACACATACTTTCTTTCTTATTTTAGAAAAAATTTAAAAGAAAATAATAATTAAAATAAATATTTTATAGTTAATCTAAACGAACCACCATCACCACCATCACCACCCCTTTTTAACCCCTATCAATAATTTATCATTAAAAAATAATGATACTAATTTATATAATTCTTATTTGAATTTCAATACGATTTATACACATCATTTATTTAACATTATTATTCATCGTTTTTGATTTAAAAAAATAAAAAATAAAAAACAAGTTTATTTTTCTAACCATAGAACTTTTAAATGTCGTTGACCGTTGTTATTTGTTCTCATAATAATATTTTTGTCACGTAAGAACCATAACCCTTAGCAAGAGAAGAAATAAAACTTAATTCAGAGTGAGAGGGTGTAAGATACTAAGGGTTATAAATAGGGGATGAACGGGGTAAGAAGGGAACGATCCTTTCCAAGGATAACACACAAATCCTTGTGGATGTTATCTAAATTTACGATCAGTGTTCTTACGTGTATGTGTGTGTGTATGTTCAATGTGTGTTAGGTTGGGGATTCGACTAATATTAACACATAGAAGATGAAGTTTAACGTTTCAACGATGAGAAAATTTGTGTTTTAATTTTTAATGTTCGATGGTTTAATAGAAAATTTCAAATTAAAACACACCAAACCAATCAAGCAATCAATCAACCACCTACTCCCACCCTTCTTTAATAATTTATTCGACAAATATATTTTTATGTTTTTTTTTTCTTCTACACCATAAATCGAACTTATTCCCAATGGTACTTTTACTTTCTTACTATTTCCTTCAACGAAAAACATTAAAGGATTTATGTCTTTGAGAAAATGTGAGAAAGAAATTTCTTCTTCTTCTTGCATCTACTTAAAGAATGTGAAAAATAATGTTTATCGTAATTAGGGCAGTGCATTTGGTTGAGAAAAAAAAGTCGACCTTCGTGCGTGCATTCGAATCGATCTCAACAAATGTTTCTTTTAAGGTTTATATATACACTTAAGATAATCATTAAGTATACGAGAGACCCCTTGGTATATATTGTTTTTTTTTCTTCTTATATTACGTTTTGTTTCTTTCGCATAAATTAAAAATTCATAAAGTATAATGAAACGTTACAAGTACTTTGTTTAATGAAATTTTCTAAAAACAAAACAAAAATAAAAACAATCAAATTAGACAACTTTCTTTTACTTTTTTCGTTGTATTGGTTCTCATGTGTGGTTCGATACATTTCTATCGCAACAGGTTTTATCGCAAACACACATACACACACATATATATACACATACACCTATTTATTGATATATATATATATATAT